TATATTAATTAATAAATCTGATTTACATGATACAGTTTTGACTGGGAAAAAAATGGCTTACCAACTGACAGTAATGTTTCAGATATTCATCAGTTTTATGCGGATTGAGGTTTCCCATTCAACGGACATTTTTCGAAGTCTTGCCCTAATCCTGTTTACATGCACACTATTCTCTTTTCCTTATCTTTTTACTCGTAATTTTTGCTTTTTTTGATGTTGTTCCCAGATCATTCCAGTCTGTGGAATTTGCTGCTATTAATTCAATCTTAACTAATAATTCAATAGATACTTTTTATGAATGTTATCGTAAGGTAAATTGTTCCCAACTGTTCAACCTTTGAACAACAACACTAGATTCGTGTGTGGAAATTCGTCCAAACCTAATTTTCCATTTTCGTTATCTTTTCTGTTTGGAACTGAAGAAGGAAACACATACCAAAGAAATTAAGGTCTGTTTCTTCTTAAAATAACTTTTTGAAGGGTAAGTTCTCCATTTTCTTCCTTGTCAAGACTCATCACACAGTTCACACTGTCAATTTAAAGTTTTATTTACAGGAAAATGTGTATCACTGTGTGCATACTTTGTCACACTGTAATTAAGCTGTTTTTCAGGATATATCAGAGCGAGTATAGATGACAATGATGGCGGGGAAAGGCCAGGTTTCTGTCCCTCGAGGTTTTCGTTTCCATCCCACAGATGAGGAGCTACTTTATTATTATCTGAGGAAGAAGGTCTCGAATGAAGCCATCGACTTTGATGTTATTAAGGAAGTTGATCTCCACAAACTCGAACCCTGGGACCTAAAAGGTTAGCCACCCACACTATTCTTTGGATTTCTATGATAACCGACACACATTTTTAGTCTATAAAGAACAGTTTGTGATGTACATTTTACATAATGAGATGCAGAAAAATGTAGAATTGGATCGGTTCCCGAAAATGAATGGTATTTATTCAGCCATAAAAAAGGACAAAAAGTATCCAACAGGAACTCGGACAAATCGTGCTACAGCGACCGGTTTCTGGAAGGCCACCGGTAGGGATAAGGCCATAAATCTAAGCAACTCCAAGAGAATTGGAATGAGAAAAACTCTTGTTTTCTACACTGGACGTGCACCTCACGGCCCGAAGACGGATTGGATCATGCATGAATATCGTTTGCACTACGATTCTGCTGAAATTCAGGTAAAAAAGGAACTAAACATAGTTTCCATAAAACCTAGCCCGTCGCCGACAAGCAAGTTGAGCTTCGTTACATATTCAGAAATCAACAATATATCAAACATTACTACACCATTCTTGCTCATATATTAATGTAAACTTGCAAATTGATGAACCAGGAGGATGGATGGGTGGTTTGCAGAGTATTCAAGAAGAAAAATCATACCAGAGGTTTCCAAACTGAAGTCATTCAGGATCAAGAACACACACTTTACAAGAATCCCACTATTGGTTCTACTAACTTGTGTCAGCCACAATATGATAATTCCTCAATAAATCTCCCAGAGTTAATGAGTGCTGAATCATGCAGTGCACCTTCATCGAACACCATGCAGCAGGATATGATCCAGTGCTCCCAGAACTTGATGAGATTGACATCAAGAGTTTCTGGATCAAGCTTGATCATGCAAAAAGAGAAGATTAATGGGAACGTTTCATTTATGGACAAGCTTTTGGCTACACATCAAACCCTGGATCAAATCAAATGCTATCAGTTTTCACAAGTTCCTGATTTCCCTCAGATGTTTTCATTGCCTTACCTTGGATCTGAACCAGATTTTTTAAACTTGTCCAAGTAGTCTTCTTATGCTTATGAAATTTTTAATTGTGAACTTCTATATTTACATTATATTAATGTAAAAGCAATGAAGAGTGAAAAATTATAAGCTTTAGATAATGAAAATCTCGTCGCTCTTAGAATTAACAAATGTTCATCATATCCATTAGGGAATAGCAAGCTGGAATAGCTCAGTTGGTTAGAGCGTGTGGCTGTTAACCACAAGGTCGGAGGTTCAAGCCCTCCTTCTAGCGAATATTGAATTTTTTGCTCCAATCCAGGCAATTTATCTTTATAAAAGAATATTTTTTATTTTTTAAAAAGAATTTTTTGCAGTTATAAATCACTTCAATTTAATAACTTTTTGTTCTAAAGATAATTTGTTTGTAAAACCAATGTCCAAAAAGAAAATATAAGTAAAGGACACTAACCACGCTACTGATTAATTCCTTCTTATCTCCTCCAACCATATGTTTATTCATTCAACTGAAATATTGAACTAGCATTCTTCATCCCCGACACTCGTGTATATGACCAAACTCTATTCACACAAGATCCAATAAATTTCTTCTTGTATGGGGAAATTATGAAAAATGCTATGTACACACAGCATTTTCCTGAAAGGAAATAGCTCATGCTTCAGAGTAGAGAAAAAAATGTAGCGTGAAATGCCATACAATTGCATGCAATTAACCATGTTCGATATAAATAATATAAGTTTTTAATTCAATTTTCCAGTTTCCATGTGCCATTAAAAGCTCAGAAGCAAAGTTCCCCTTACAATTTCTTGTACAGTTCTTTGATTCAATGGAGTAGAACTTCCCCTCGTAAGAAAAAACAAAAGCTCTTTAATTGTCAGGTTCTAGTACAGTATCCCAACTAAGTACATCCATCAATAGATTCAGCAATAGCACATAAAAACCAAGACGTCCCAAGAAAAATCAGGCGACAGCATCTTCTTATCAATTTATAGATCCAGACCCTGTTTAACCAGGTGCTTGTCCACGACCTGCACGACCACCTCGTGCACCACGAGCCCTAGTTGCTCTGCCGCGAGCTCTACCCGGTGAAGGAGAAAGCATTCCAGCCTGTCTAATAGATGCCCTCAACCTAGCTCTCTCTTGCCAATTGATGGTTGTTGAGCTGCTGCTAGTAACAGGGGATGTCTGTTTTCCTTCCACGACACTGGTGACAGTAGAACCACCTTGTTCTGGAGCCCCAGTTTCAACAGCACTGCTAGTTGTTGCTTCCTGACCAGCAGTATTAGAATCTCCAGTGACCTGATCGGTGTCTGTACCATCATCATTCTTATCTGAACTTTCAACAATGTCCTCGTTCATTTCACCGCCATCACTCTTTTCTTCATCCAGAACCTGGGAAGGATCAATTTCCCCAACTTCCAAGGGTTCGTCAGCTGCTGGAGAATTCTCGGGCATTGCTTGCTCGGGTTGAAACTCCTCGATTGCTGGTCCCCCCATTGCATTAGATGTAATAGCATTGCCCTCAGTATCTCCATCGCCAGCGACCAGCTCTCCCTCTTCCCTGTCGTTCTCAGATTCTGTTACTATATGCTGGATGTCTTGTTCAGTCTGATATCTCAATTGTTCGTCTGACACTATAGCTTCACTTGGTTTATCCAAATTCTCTTCTGCTGCGTCGATAGTGTCAGTCTGTAATTCAGCCAGATTCTTTCCATCAGCTGTTGGCTCTTCAACTTCCTCCCCTGCAGTTGCTAATTCATCCCTTTCAGTATCTATAGGTTCCTCCTTGATATCTTGATGAACATTTTCAATGTCCTCAGGCGACTCTTCAGGGGGACGTGAAACTTGGGGAACTTTTAAAGTAGCAGTAGACTGTTCTTCACCACCTTCTTTTTGGGTCTCTGCACCTTTAGACTTTTTTGGCACAGGTGCTATCATATCAGAGCTAGTTTGCTCTGGAGCCAGTAAATCCTCTTGCAAACCAGAAGCAACCGAAGTTGGACGCTTGCGAACAAGTGGTGGTGTTGGTACAATCAGATTTCCTTGAGTTTCTATATTTTGAGAAGACTGCTTGACGCTATTGTTAGACTCGTCAGCTTCTGACATCTCTACATCACCTTGAGGTTCTTTAGGCTTTGTAATACTCGGACGGACCAGTTTCCTCCCTGTTTTAACATTTGTCTTCGGGAAAGTAAATCGTTTCTCCCTTTCTTCAACTGCTTTTGCTGCAGGAACGCTTGCAGCAGCAGCTCCTGGAGGTGGTAAAATATTTTGGGTAATTGCAGGGCCTGTTTGAACAGTTGTAGCTGATGAAGTATCCAGAGCAGAAGGATCGGTAGAAGTGGAATCTTCAAGCTCAATGCGAACCGGTAGTGCAACTCGCTCAAAATTTTCTACAGCCAGGAAATAGGCAGCAGAAAAATCCTCCAACAGAGTGCCAGTAAAACGTTGAACCACTGATGTAGACTCAGATTGACCGTCTCTGGAATTGTTTAGTTTCTCCACTTCATCATGAAGTGTCTTCAGAGCCTGCTTATGCTTGTCCAGCTCATCTACGAGCTTCGCCCTCTGCTGAGTTACACTCTCATAAGATTCGAGAATTATCTTTCGGCTCTTCTGAAATTTTTCCTTCTCTTTATTACGATCTTCTTTCTCCTTCTTCAAATCCTCCCTATGCCTCTCCAATGTTTTCTCAAGAATTTGTATTCTTGTGTCTTTCTCCCTCTCTTTTTCCTTCATTGCCTGTTCACATGCAGCATCCCCTAAATTCCTTTTCACCTGTTTGGCATCTTCCAATTGTTTGGAAAGTAATTGAATCTCTTTGCTCAGTTCCTCCTTTTCCTTTGACAAGTTGTCCAACTTCCTCCTCAGTTGAACATTTGATCTCTTAAATCTTTCAACTTCTGATTTCAAAGAAGCCTCGACTTGCAAGATTTCATTGATTCTAATCTCTCTCTCATCCAATTCTGTTTTGCTCCTAGCAAGGTCTTGCTCTAAATGGGATGTTGCATCCTGCTTCTCTGATACAAGTTTCCTAATTTCCTCCAACTGTGCATCTTTCTCTCTCATATTCACTTGCATCTGCTCAAAAGATTCTCTCATGCGACGATATTCATCGACATCCTTGTTCTTCTCCAGCAACTCAACAATTCTCTTCTCAAGATGTTCTTTCTCAATCTTCTGCTGTTCAATTTCTTTTTTATAAGCTTCCGCCTCTTTGTCCCTGTCGTTAAGAAGTCTCTCCAGTTTATCGATTTCAGTCCTTACTTTTTGGGCTCCTTCACGAAGTTTCTGGCATTCTTCGAAATTATGTCGGTTTTCTTCCCGGAGCTGCACATTACTCTCTCGAAGCAAGGTCAGTTCTCTCACCTGAAGTTGAAGAGACTTGAAGTCTTCCTCAGTGAACAGTGATGCCCGAGATGTTGCCCGCTCCGCATGAAGTGATGCTTGCGCTGACTCTGCTGCCTTTAGAGCACTCTCTAACTGTGATTGCAGTCGAAGCTTCTCCTGTTTAAACAGAGATATTTCCGTTTCCGAAATTTCCTTTGACCGTCGCAGATAACTTACAACATCTTGCAATCCGTCCTCATTACCCAATGTTTGAGATGTGCTCCCAGAAGCTACTCTTCGATCCTTCTCAGCTAATTTGATAAGCAAGGCCTCAATCCGAATGTGCAACATCTTGTTCAGTTCATTAACTTCTTCATATTTCTTATCTGCTTCGTTTTTAGATGCTTCTAGATATAACTTTTCAGCTTCCCATTTGGCCTTCAGTTCATTCTGAACAAATAAGTGGGTGTTATCTCAATAGTGATAACTAGAATAAAAAAGAAACAAAACAATATTATATGAAGAATGGATTCAATATTCCCAAGTTTCCCAAGCTGAACAAGTGCATAACTAAGAGAATAGAACCATTTTGAAGGATAAGATTAAGGAACTTCAACATGCATCAATAAATAGTGGAAAAATGTTTTCTGCTAATACTGGAAAGACATGGAAAATTCAACTGCAGAAAGTCCAGAGAAATTTTGTGGAAGTAACATTACATTCCTCAAAATGGCATAGGATATAAGAATAATCATCCTGAAGCCATGTTTATGATAATAAATTCACTGTTAATTCACTAAAAGCTATCACCATTCTGATTCAAATTAACAATATCTTTATTGAACAATCCGTGGTCATAGCGAGGAAAAAATATGAGTCAAAATCCAACATTATTAGAACCAGGCAAGAAGAGAAGTGAAATAGAAGTTACATTTTCATTTTTGAGTGCATCTGCCACTTTACGGAGCTCAGATGTTTCCTCTTGCGCTGAAGCCAAGGCTTGTGATGTTTTCATCAACTCCTGAATTGTTTCTGACTGTAGAACAACCTGGAGAAAAAAAAAATTTGATGCAACCACCAGTAAGTATAATTTCCTTCACCAAATTCTAAGAATCAGACATACAATTAATTGTTATTACTGATTACAAACAGAAATATCAGAATTCTCCTGAAAATGATATAACAAACAAAGAAAAACACAATAGGACAACATTGATATTAAATTTAGAAGTTCCTAAGTATAGCCGAGCTGCTTGAGTCGAAAGAACTTCCATATAAACGGAGAATCTAACTCCTTGGTAGCATGTGGAAGTAAACAACTCTTTACATAAACACGCGATTAATAGATGTCTGACTCTAAAATTCATTTCCTCTCAACCCACAGCAACTTTCATCATTAACTTTGAACTGTTCTATAGGGGACCACAGAAGCACAGAAAAAAGGAGCATCCATAGGGGTAAAAATCTCTCAGAATATATAGTGTGTTTTCAAGCAGAAAACAAAGAGCTAATTCAAGTATAATCACAACACAATTCATAAAAAATCTCAACAAACCTAAAGGCACATTTTCTATCACAATATTCCAATTCGCATCAACATCCCGTACAAATTGTTTTACTCACTTCATTCTGTTTTTTTTTTTTTCTTTTTTGTTGGGGGTGGGGAACAGGAGATTTGGATTGTATTAACAATGAAATATTCGAAAAATAGGAAGCCTCGTGGAACTAGTGTTGGCTTGAATACTTATACATTCAAGGTTCTTAAGTTAACTGAAATGAGTAAAAAACAGTAAACTTCGTGATCTTTCTAGAATTCTCATAAATTAACAAGTCCCCCCACCCCCACAAAAAAATAAATAAATAAAATTATTCACTATAGAACAACAACTTCAAGAAACTATAAAGTGTAAAGGTGCAGTCCAAAACAAAAAGATTGTCACTCTACATGGTTATGCATAAATAAACTTGCTCGTGAAGAAGCATAATTTTGATTCTGATTTCATCGCCAAGCTGGCATCCGCATGCATTCCCATATTTAAGAGAAAACCTATGGTCTTTTAAACACATACAACTTGTTAAGGGGAGGTGGGTGCCACCAAATCAATTATCAACCTCTGGATGGATTAGATATCCACTAAATCAATATAATTTTAGAAGCCAATTAAAGTGAAAAGAAATAAAGGAGAAAAGTTTTACTATGATAAACCAACTCCATGTCATTCTAACTCTGAAAAGTGGACCTCAACAAGCTTCAATTAGTCCTAAACTCCCATCAATACAACTAGGAATGCACTAGCATAAAGACTTGCTAATCTAGATTGTAACCATATGGCCATCTTCCCCTTTCCCCCAATTTGCCTCCCCCAATGTATCTCGAGATGAAGTCAAATCTTTATATTTAATTAGAATATAGTAAGCATATTCTCCCTCTAGTGGAACCAAGGCATACATCATCCATCAAGATGACATTCATAGGAAAAGTATTCTTCCTTAAGAACGTCTAGTTAAAAAAAAAAACCTTTTTAAGACAAAATCCACACAGTAAATTACAATTTGGGCCCTCAAACTATTCAAACTAAAGCAAGTACGTCCCCATAAAAATTAATGTTTGGGGACCCACATGCAGCGAAAAAAGGTTGTGTACCTACTTCCTACATTTCACATATATTGGAGGACACAGTCGACATTTTTACAAATTCAGAAGACGACTATTTAATTGGCTGGTTTTTTTGTACTTCCATATAGGAAGCACCTACTTCAATGAAACATTCACTTATCAATTAACAACTAGATAGCCAACATATAAAAGCAACCTGTCTTTCATAGTTGGCTTGAGAAGCACGCCATCTTTGATGCTCATTCTCCAAATCATCTTTCAAGGCAGAGATTTGTGCTTCCATCACCACCACTTGGGACCTTGCATAAAAAAAGAATAAACGTATTGAAATGACAACATAAATAAACTGACTATACAACATGTTAACCATCAAAAACTCACATTTTATTAGCGCAATCCTCCTTCAGACTAGTGATTTCAGATAAAGCAACCACAAGAGCTTCTTCTTTTCCAGCATTTGCAGAAGCTGCTTCCTCGGTCTTCAGATTGCATTCCCTTTCAAGTTCATCAATCCGCTCTCTAAGAGATTGGACTTCTGCTTCAAGTGATTTTCTAACTTTATCAGCCTACAACATGCAACAGTCTGAGTAAACAAGCAAGTGTTCATTGAAGAATTGATGTTATGCATGCTTAAATTCCATCGACACACCTCGATTCTTAAATTCTCATGGGCAGATTCCATCTGTTTAAGTGCTGCATCATTTACCTCAGCTATGCTTTTATACTGAACACAGAAAAATAAATTTAGATCGTGGAGTGCATCTGTAAACCATCAAAATGCAATAAGTACCTGAACCATGTGATCTTTGCTAGTCTGCACCTCTTGTCTCAGTGTTTCAATTTCTTCCCAGAAATCCGGCAAAGTCTAGAGCATATTTGCAGGAATATTATAAGTATCAACCAAGAAACTAATGAATATGATTCCACAAAGACGACAAATCAAGATACTGCCCAAATAACATCCAAAATGAAACCTGACGACTTAACATGGTAACAGCAGCAATATGAGAAGAGCAAGTTTGTGGGCAGAGCTGCTACTAGTCATAAATAATGTGATAATATTGTACTTTCAATCTTGATCCGAGTCGTGTCATTTTTATGGTTAGGAGCATTTTCCCAATAAATCCAATTTCTTTAAAAAAAAAAAAAACCAACCATTAAAACCGAGGTTGTTTCAGGTTGGGAAATCCCAACACGGAAACTGAACCTACTGAAAAACTGAAACCTTGTTTACTAATAACCTGCAACTTAAAAAATATCATTGAATTCCAAAGACAGCAATGCCTAAAAAGGAAAAAAATCCCAGCACTCGTATGAAAGAATACGGAATCGAAGCAATTATAAAGCAGTCTGCAGTGAAATAATTAATTGAAGTACCTTGTCACTAAAGGAGGAAGGACCAGCTTCGGCATCTTTAGAATCCTGCAGCACAGCAACAAACAGATTCAGAAGATGCACAACACACTGAACTTGAGAAGGCAAGAAAAACAAAGGGCCGTTTTCAACAAATTAATACACAAAACTCAAAGGGAAGCAGCTTTAATTATTTATCACAGTAATCATTTTTAGCAATCTTCGTCCAAGTGCATCATTGTCAAATAACACAACACAATAAACACATTTTCATAAGAAAATTTCCATTCAACATTCTCCAGTCTCGTGGGCAGAATGGGTACCACTGAGAATGGACGCAGCAAACAAAATACCTTCATTTGTGCAGATTTAACAATCTTCTCCAAATCAGCGCAACGGGCCTGTATGAAGTAATGATGAAGGATCAAAAAACATTTTTTTAGGAACAAGAAAAAACTAAAATATCCAAATAATTGACTTGGTAAAGTGGAAAAAATTCCAAATTGATTGCCTCTGCAATGGCAGCCCTAGCTTCAGCTGCAGCCACAGAATGCAAGGCATCAGCTAATTCTTTCCCCTGAATTTCAACTTGTTTCAAGGCATTCATCATGGAAGTTTCACGCTGAAGTGTAAGATTCCGAACAATATCACGTTCTTCCTGAAGCTCCTTTTTAGCCTCAGCCCATTCTCTCTGCAGTTGAAACTTCGCAATATATTACCAATGAAAAGAGATGATACACGTGCATTTGGAGAGGATAATGCTATATACCAAATTACCATGAACTTGAGAGAGAGAGTCATGTAGTAATTTTCACATCCATGGTCAGTTAAAATGAGAGGAAGGGATGCAGCAAAACCAAAAATACAAGAGAACGTACCTCAATTCTTTCAACATACTCCTGCTGCCTTTTCCTTTCAATGCTTCTGGCATCCTAACACATCGACGCAAAATAAAAGTTCAGAACATTAAAGAGGAAGTGCAGACGGAAAATAAATTCAATGACAACAAGCTACCTCGTGCACTTCCTGAGTACTATGCATGGTGTCCAAACTTGCCTGGATAAAGAAACGGGTAAAATAAGCATAGAAGCTACCTAAAACCACATTTATAACCAGAAACATCAATAAAGAAAGAAAACCTGCAAACGATAAACTCTCTCCGACAAACAGCGAACTTCATCAAAAGCTCTCTTCTCAGAGTTGAGCAGTATTTCCTTTTCATTCTTCCGGACAGCGACCTGTATAGCAATACCACACATGTTGATGGAAAAATGTAAACAAGAGAACCATAAAGTGTAAAAAAATAAAATCACCTCCATTGTTAACTTGCGTGATATCTCCTCAGCAGTATTCAAGGACTCGGAACTTTCACGCAGCTTTCGCTGGTAGTCGATTATCAGCTGTGAAAACTCAATGTTTCTTGCTATGACTCCATTATGTTCATCTCTCTGTCATTTCACCAAATGATATGCCAAAATATGTCAAAAACAAAAGGTCACACGATATCCGCCCAGCATCTAGGTCGTCTTGGAATGTGAAGATTTTAACCCTAAATGATCAGACCACAGGAGAAAATACAAAATAAAGCGAATCTCCAAATAACATGTTAACCTGATGCTCAAAGTCTTTCATAAATCTGGCCAGTTTTTCTTGTGCAAATTGTGCTTCCAGTCCTAACTTGTCACGTTCAGTTCGCAAAGAAATGATCTCACTCCTGGATAGGAAAATAAATACAGAAAACCAAGTAGTGAATAAAATGAAGCTGCTAAAATATCCCTTTAAAAACATCCATGAGGATGAATTCAAAGAGGGGTGTGACTAATGCATAATTCCAACAGTTTTTTTGCAGAAATTTCAATATTTCACACACCTCAGTTCTCGAAGAGCCATGCACATGCATAAGCACCCAAAAGAATACAACATCAAGATTCTAAAATGAAGTTTAAAGCATATAATGCTCATCTCAGAACTAGTCTCTAATCACGACTTATAAACATATTAATCAAATGTTCGCCCAAGTTAGTTGATCAATAACCCATTCTTTGTTCATCATACAACAATAATCCTGCCAGTTGATCATTCTTTTTTCAATGTCTAAAATAGTTTCATCCAATTAGTTTGTTATATCTACAACTGCCAACCAAGCATATTAACATAACAAAAATTTATCCTCTCGTCGTTCTATGGAACATCTACATCAAAAAATCAATTCCTTGTCCTGATGTCTTAAAGAGGATAATTCAAGTGCACTCAAAAATTGCAATACATGGCCCTCAGTGGTATCAATGGCATAGCAAATACTAACAAGAAGAAAGATGGATGTAATGGCGAGGGACAAACATGTCTAAAAATCATAGATCCAATTCAATCCAAGAAGCAACGAAATGTGGAGTAACCATCTTGACACTAAAAGAAGTGTAACAACCAAATCAAATGAAAACTTGTCTAATCTCAAAGCCCGAGACCCACTTGTTCTCATTCATTGATCCTACAAAAATTATCTTGATTGAGTTGTTGCGAGGTTTTTAGGTCAGAAGATTGTTAACAAATGCTTCCACCTACTACTCTAAGAATGATAGTTGAAATGTGTACTAGATCTGCAGGCTGACAAAGTTTTATGGATTTCCATCATTAATACCAGAGAGAAGTGTTGAATCCGCAAAATCTGATAGTAAATTTTCAAGTTAACCAATGATATATAGGATTCATGAATATTCACACTTTGCTACTTAAAAAGAACCACATTTAAGGGGAGGAAAAAACAAAAAGACAGAATCCAAGGAAAATGCTGAAATATAAGTTAACCCCTGGATGTATTTTGACAAACCGTATAAATGAGTGATTTCTACATGGTTTCAACCAAATCCAAAATATAGTATTTCAAATTGATGCATCTTTTAAGGATCCAAGCATCTTTAAAAAGAAGTGATATTCAATATGAGAACAAATAACCACAAAACCAGAAAAACGTTACATTTATGTTGATTATTCCAATTTCAAGAAAATGAGGGAAAATGTATGTTTACCCTATAGGGACTCCGAGGAATGGAAATTAAGAATTGTATTTTAGGAAAACTGGAAAATAATTTAGATTTTTCAGATTTTGTTTAATTTAAGAAGAGATTAGAGACTTGGATATTTTGATAAACTTGTGAAGCATTAGAAGGTCCCACTGAATTTAAGTTCTTGACGGGGTTTCAGTTTAGAGAAAATTTCCCCCTCTCAAATCCCAAGTTCTTCCTCTGTCCCCAAATTCTTCTTCTTCTTCTCTATTACGTTCTGCGTCATTCACTTTTCAAGAACATCCGGGGAAAAAAGTTAAACTTACCTCAATTTTGCAACATCTTCTTCAAGACTTCTAACACGGTCAAAAGCATGTTCTTTCACCTTTGATGTTTCCTGTAAAGTATTACATCAAGACGGAAAATAAATAGGATGTTCGAGAGCATAAAGGAAATGTACAATGTATATAAATATAACTCAGAAAAATCCTTCACGATATATTTTGACAAATCGAAGTTTTGACGGTTGGCCCCAAGAAGACACAGACCGTATACAAGGTAAATAATCAACAAGTAATCTGAAGTAAAAAAAAATAGCGAATCCCTGAATACAGAAGTGAATAGTCTCAAAAGGCATACATGAACACTTTCACTTAAGAGTATGGCCTCTTTGCCTCCCCATTCTGCAACATAAACATATCGGTTACATCAGCAAATGGCACATATAACAAATCAATATTCAAGACAACCCAACCTTCCTCTACTAAGACTAGAAACAAGAAATGATACTATCTCTATCCAGGCTCTCCATTAACTTTACACAATGTTATATAGTCTCCGTTTGACGTAATTTATAAATCTTTTATCAATGATCAAACTTCATTTTCAACCAAACATTCCAATGGACCCACAATACTATCCACTAATCCGCATTTCTATTTAGTTGTA